TTGGTGCGAGGCCCCGGCGCAGCGCCCTGCCTCCTCCCGCGCACGCGTCTCGGCTCCTCCCAGGAGGCCGACCAGGGGTAAGGGCGGGGCGGGCGGCTCAGGCAGGGGACCCGGTGAACTGCCCGGGCGAGGCCGCGGCGGGGCGAGTCTCCTCCCGCAGGGGGCGCTCGTGCTTTGGGTCGGGTTATCCCAGGCCTACCGGGCCTGGGACGTGAGCCTCTTGTCTACCAGCGCTCGGTTCCGTCCGCTGCACCGTGCACTGTCTCCTGTTGGGTATAAGGTGTCCACGTGGGTCACCTCGCCCACTCTTCTGCCCCATTTCTCAGCCCATACCTTTGGCTCCTCTCTTTTGAAAAGGGTCATTTGAGTACAGCTGAGTTAGACATAATGAGCCTGGTGGCGCAACAGCTAAGTGCTCTGCTGCTAACAAAGGGTTGGCGGTTCAACCCACACAGCAGCTCTGTGGGAGGAAAGACCTGGCAATCGGTTCCTAGGAAACCCTATGGGGCCGTTCTACTCTGTCACATGGGGTGGCTATGAGTCGGAATCGACTCGAAGGCCCCTAACAGCAACAGGGTTAGACATAAATTTCTTGAGTTCCAATCTAGCTGTGTGACTTTGGATCAGTTACCTAACCTGTCTGTGCCTCCTCACCCTCACCCAACGGGGATAATGATAGCACCTATCTCACCAGGTTGTCGTGCCACTTTGCCCAGGGCCTGCTGATGGATGAGGCGGGAAGACGCTGGAGGCGGCTGGAGTCCAGGGAGAAGACACCAGCCAGTCCTCAGAGCCCATTGTTCCTCTGCACCCTGCCCACCACCTCCCGTGCCCTGGCTGCCTGCTGGCCGGTCCTAGGCCTCCCTGCCTCTAGATTTGGTCCTCCATGCTGCAGGCGGCTTTTTTTTAAAAGAGTAAATTTGACCACATTGCCCCTTACCAATACTTAAAATCCTGCAGCAGCTCCCCGTGGCTTTCAGGACCAATAGTATCTATTCAACAGATATTTGTTTGCTCCAACTTACTGGCTAGGCTCTGTGCCGACAGGACCAGCCTTTGGTTTTGACTCCTGCCCATCGGCCCTACCTCTCTGACTCAGTTTCCTTATCTCTACAAGGGGATTCTTCTACAGATCCTCACACCAACCTATGACCTCAGTTTTTAGATGTAGACTCCCTCCAAGAATCCTTCTCCTCCTCCCCGTCCCTGTCCCCCCAGCTAGCCCCCTTGCCTCCTGGTCTGGGGATTCAGGGGTGAGAGGCAGCTGGGGTCCGTCAGGAAAGGAGTTGGTGCCAGCTGGAGAGCCTCTGGGCCTTGGCACCAGGCCTGGCTCCCTCTCTCGCCTGGCAGCCTGGCTCTGACTCACCTCCTTTGCTCTGCTCCACCGATTCTGCTCCAGCGTCCCCACTGCCTGCTCTCTCCCTCTGGCTCCTTGCCAGGGTCCATCTCCATCCCTCCCTCTGCGTGTGCCCCTCCTGCCGGGTCTCTTTCCCCTCTGCCCCTCCATCCACCTGCATCTCTCCCATCCTTCCTCTAGAGTGTGTGCTCACCCCTGCCCACTCCCCCAGTTCTCAGCCCGTAACCTCTAGATCTTCTCTTTTGAAAAGGGCCACTTGAGTACACAATGTTCTGGGACTCCTTCCTTTGGGGTCCATGGGAGAGTGTGTGTGCCCCCTCATCATTCACACGCAGGCACGCACATACTCGCTACTCGTGTACACATCCACCCCCACACTGTCACATGTCTGCACGCACACATGCATACAGCGAGCTGCAAAGCCTCTCCAGGCCCGTTCCCTGCTCTCTGTGGCTGCCGCCACAGGTCCTTCCAGCAGCTGAGGGCTGTGAGGGGCTTGGGGTCGGTTTTTTCTCTTTTTTCCTCTTTTTCTGTTTTTGTTTTTCTTTCCTTCTTTTTCAAAAATTTCATTTCAATCACAGCCCTAGCTCAGACGTTCAAATTCTTGTGGGTTTTTCTGTGGATCTTTGCTAGGACTGGGGAATTTGGCGGGAGAAACCACGGCAGTGTGGTGGCCTCCCCCACCCGTCCCACATCCTCTGCTCCAGAGGATTGGGGCGAAACCAGCCCCTGTGTATTCTGGACGAAAACCCCCTTCTCCACCCAGCCTGGTGGAGCCAGGACATGAAGTAGGCCCTGCCCCTGACTCAGCGGCTCTGTCTATGGCCTGGAGCAGGGCGAGAAGGACTGGCAGGGCCTTGAGAGGAGAAGACCATCTCCAGAGGCCAAGGGACCGTCCCCCCACATGGAGGACCTGTTGGCCAGCCCTCGCTCATGCCTCCCTGCCCAGAGCACCTGGATGCACCTCCCACGCATCCTCCACTGTACAGTCTGGAGGCTGGGGTGGGAACAGAGAGGCTGCTGGGAGAGTGGGTGGGAGGGGCTGAGCAGTAGAAGCTTCCAGAAAGGCATATTCAAGTTTGACACCAAGAAGCACTTCTTTCCCGGAGCACTGTCTAAATACCAGCTGGCTACCTCCAGAGAGAGGGAGCTCCCCATCTTGGGAAGCGTGCAAGCCCAGGGAGGGTTGTGGAGAGGAGTAGATTCCCCTAGCAGGGAGGGTTGGGGTGGTCTCTAAGGGGCATCCCAGCCCAGAGATCCTGGTTCTGTGAGGGAGGCCAGTGGAGGGGAGGGGCAGGGGCCGAACATGGGGCTGAAACACCAGTCGACGTGGGAGGGGCTGGGTGGGGGGATGCTGGGGGGCCCTGGGCAGACCCAGGCGCCGCACGCAGCGAGAGCCAGCCTCTTGATCGTGGGGGAAACTTGGCCATGGGTCTCAGCAGGGCCTCGCCATGTGTCAGTGCTTGGAAAACCGGCTGGAAAATGAGACCAGTTGACAGGCATGGGCCCCATTGTGCTGTGGAGAGGGCGGGTGGGCGGGCGGGTGAGACAACCTGCCACGTGAGCCACCTTCTCCAAGCCGAGGTGGCAGAACTGCACGGCCACTGATTGGCTAGGCCTAGAGCAGTGAGCCAGGAGCTCTGGAGGGCAAGCGGCAAGAGCGGAGGCCCCAGAGCATCTCGGCCTGCAGTCCAAGTGGCCTTTATCAGCAGACACCAGGATGCAGGGGGAACTTTGGCCAGGGCCCCATGGACACTGACATTGGAGGCCCCAATGGAAGCTGACATTCAAGAGTTTGAACCTCTGCTGAGGATGGGAGGGCAGGTTGGCCTCTGCTGCCTGCAAGTGGGGGTTGAAGGCAGATCCCAGGGGGAGCAACCCCCGTGAGGGTCACAGGGCTCTGGAATGTTGTTGGAGACAAAGCACCAGAAGGCCAGCCTCTGAGGGGCCCACCAACTCCTGGCCCCGAACCAGAGAAATGGGGGGCACTTTGGGGACAGAGGCTCCTTCCACGCCCCGACACCTTAACCCCAGGTTCACCAGTCAGGGGAGGAGGTCACAGAACTGCAGGACTCACTGAGCACCAAGTGTGTGCGACATCTCAGAGACAGAACTCAGTTATGGGAGGCGAAGCTGATCACTTCCATGGCCACTGAATTGTTGTCAGGTGCTGTCGAGTTGGTTCCGACAGACAGCGACCCCACGTACAACAGAAGGAAACACTGCCCAGTCCTGCGCCAGCCTCACAATCGTTGCTATGTTTGAGCTCACTGTTGTAGCCACTGTGTCAGTCCATCTCGTTGAGGGTCTTCCTCTTTTTCTCTGACCCTCTACTTTACCAAGCGTGATGTCCTTCTCCAGGGACTGATCCCTCCTGATAACATGTCCAAAGTATGTGAGACGAAGTCTTGCCATCCTCACTTCTAAGGAGCATTCTGGCTGTACTTCTTCCAAGACAGATTTGTTCCTTCTTCTGGCAGTCCATGGGATATTCAATATTATTCGCCATGTCCGTTGAACGTGGGGGAGAAATGATAGGGTAATGAGGTCAAGCTGAGGATGGTCTGAATCAGAAGTCAAGGTCCCCGTCCTCCAGTGGCATCACTAGGGTCGGTGTCACCCAGTGCAGTAACTCATGGTGTCACCCCCCCATGCTAATTACCACAATGTTATAGCTAAAACACCAGAAAATTCGACGAAATTAGCCACTATAAAAACACCAGCAACAAGGAAAACAACAGTTCTCGCTCATGCAGACGAAACCACGTGATTCGAAGCGTCACTGTAATTGGGTAATAATGACAGCTCTGACTGGAGCGCTGTCGAGTCATTAGAAGGGTTAAACAGTAAATTAGCATAGAGTTTCAGCCTTGTAGGTATACTTATACGTATAAGCTGGGCTTACCAAAAGTGTGGTTGTTTTTATGACCGACTACAGGGATATTTTTATACCAAATAATGAATTTCTGCTGAGACACTGCACAAAAATTTTATCAAGTCATTTTGGTGTCACCCCCTCTGCCGTGTCACCCCGTGTGGTCTGCATCTCCACCTCCCTAGTGACACCACTGCATTCCTCCCCGTCCTCGTCTCCCCTTCCTCTTCCGCTCCCCTCCCCCCAGGTGCAAGCCCAGTGAGGGGACAGAAGTGCCCGCCCATAGTGCTGTGTGGGGTGGGGTTGCTCTGCCGGTGACGGGATGGAGGAGCGCCTTCGGGTTGCGGTGCTGGAGCTTGTGCGGGGACAGGGGCGCGTGTGGCGAGGGCATGGCGGGGGGCGGGGTCGCAGAGCTGCACGTGTGCATGGCTCAGCGGCCTGGTGGCAGGAGAGGAAACGGCCGGCGGCCTCACCCCCTCCGCGGGGAGACACTCGAGTCTAGACGGCTTGGCAGGCCAGCAGGGCTGAGTCACTTGTGTCTGGAGCCGGAGTCTCGGGCGCCGGGGCTGGAAGGGAACATGCCCACTGGGGGGCCGGCGGGGATGGGGGCCTGCCCGGCGGCCTTTGCCCCTTGCCCCTCGCCGAGCACTGGGCCCTTCCCCTCCCCCGCCCTAGGCCCCCAATGCCCTCTCGAGGGCCTGCCAGCCGCCACGGACTCAGGGACCCACATTACTGGCAGGAACACGTTAGAATTTCAGCTGGGACAGGAGGATTCAAAATTGGTCCCCACGTGGCCCCCATCCCAACCAGGGCCCCACCGGCCACCTGGACCTTCGCCCTGCCGCCTTTCTGGCCTGCTTTACACTGTCTCATTCCCCGGGCTGCAGCTTCGGGGTCCTCTAGCGTGCCGCTCAGGGCGCCTTAGCTGCCCCCATCCCATCCCCAGCCAGCAGTGTCCCGTTTGAGGGCGTGCACCCTCCCTCTTCCTCGTGCTCCCGCTCTGTCTCACAGAACACCAGGTCTCAGACAAGGCAGCCCCCAGGGTGGGCTGGCCGCCTGATGCTAGCAGCGCTGGCAAAGGCATCCTTGGGGAAAGTCGTTTAATTGAGACCAGACCCTCTGAGGTCTCAGTGGCATTAGAACAAGATGGGTTTCTCTAGGGAAGGGCTGCTGGCAGCAGGAAAAGGGCATGGCAGGGCTGGCTTCTTTCCTCTCAGAGCTTTAAGGGAGACAAGGACCCCGTACCTTTACCGATATACAAGATGTGTGTGTGAACAGACACGTGAGAGGCCTTGGCCCACACCTACCGGTGCATGGAAGTGCACACACACACACACACACACACACACACACACACGCACACGAGCCTTTGGGGAGGACACAGGCCTGCCGACACCCTGAATTTGGACTCCCAGCCTCCAGAACTGTGAGAGAATAAATTCCTGTTGTTTGAAGTCCCCCTGCCACCCCACTTTGTGGTACTTAGTTACAGGCCACGGGAAACTCAGACACTTAGGCAAAGAGTAGAAGGCTCAAGGATGGGCCTGTCCCCTTTCTCTGGGGGCCACCCAAGGGTCAAAGTGTGCTAGCCAGAGACATACGCAGCTCTGCCTTGGGCCTAGCTGAAGGCCTGGCACATAGTAGGTGCCCAATGGCATCATCACATGCAGAAAGAGGGAGGGCAGAAATAGTAGCCCAGCTTTATTACCAAGCTGCCTTTGAGACAGCAGTAACCTCACACCTGACGGCGTGGCAGGAGCTCCGGGCTCGATCCTGCGGTCGGCAGCTCTGACCTCCGGGGTGCTCCTACCAATTCCTTGGAGTCCATCTCGACTGCCTTTCCCTCGCCCCCCACACAAACCACAGTGGCTCTGCCTTTGAGATAAATCCACACTCTGCCCACTTGCCGGGGCGGCCCCTCTTATCTCCCCTTCTGCCCGTGGGCCGCCACAAGTCCACTCTCCACCCCCCAGCCTGAGGGCTCCTTTCACAGTATCAGTGGGCTTACGGGACTCCCCTGCTCTGAAACCCACAGAGGTCCCTGCTGCCTTCAAGGTTAACAGCGGTCAGCCCGGCGCCCTTTGACGCCCTGCTCGAGCTGGCCCTCCTGCCCGTCCCCAGCCTCACCCCCTCGCACAGCCCGTCTACCACACTGTTCTCCTGGCTGTTTCTCGAACCGGGCCAAACCTGTCCCGCTCACGACCTTCAAACTGGCTGTCCCGCCTTTCCGGAGCTCTTTTCGTGTGGCTATCCTCCTTATTCACATCTCTGCCCAAAACATCACTTTCTCACACTCTCCGTCTGTCAGAAGTGCCCCTCCAGTCACCATGGCCGCCCCGTGAGTGCAGGACAGCTGGCCTTCTGGTTGACTGTGACCCGCAGAGCCCTGGCCCCTCACAGCAGGGCCCAGCGCACCGGGGAAGGAAGATTCCATTCTCCACTCTCCCCTGCGTGGAGGAAGCTTGTCAGCGTGCAGTTCTAAGGAGCCTGCTTTGATATCATCCAGGGCTGCAGATTCTAGTCCTGGCGGGTACAGGGGAGGTGTGTGCACACATGTACACATGTGCGTGCAGGTGCTACACGGAAGGAAATGGGGAGGAGAATGGGCAGAGTCCCTCCTTATCCTTAAATCCTGGGACTGCGAGGCCGGCCGCGACCTTGGAGATCATCTAAGGCAGCGTCTCTAGGCCCCTTCCAGCTCTCAGATTCAGGACTTTCTCAGACGGGGTGACGGAGGCACTGAGCAGAGAAGGCGTGCTCCTGAGATCACATGGCCAGTCAGTCTATGGCAGAGCTGGGAACCCAAAGCTCTTTCCAGCAACCCCCAGACTGCACCCCTGGTTCCTGGAAAATCCCGACACCCCTCCCACCCTCTGCTCCAGACACCGGGCTCAAGGTTATGTTGGCCCGGGGCCTGCCTGCCCCAGCCCGAGTCCACAGTGAGTTCTGTGTGCAAGGGTTCGGCGGGGAGGGCAAGGCAGAGACTCGCTGCGAGCCTCTGGTTCTGCCAAGGCCCCCAACAGGCTGGCTCTGCTCCGGGGGGTTCCCTCAAGGTCCCCACGATGGCCGTGTGCCCCAACACTGGACAGGAGAGGCAGCAGAAAGACCGCCCCTGGTGCCCACCCAGGTTTGCTCTGGGCCCCCACCAAAGGCAGGGCAGCGAGGACAGGCCTCCTCAGGAGCTGGGCAGCCACGAGGGCCCCAGGCCTTGCCCCTTCCTGCCTAGGTGGGTAGGAGCGGGGGTCCTCCCTCCTCGAGGCCGGCTGTGCCCGGGAAACCTGGGAGCAGGCTCCCCCCACCCCCAGCCCAGCTAATGGGAACCAGATGGCAGGATGTTTAGTCAGCGCCTGGGGAGTGGCGGCGAAGAGGGGAAACGGGTTGGGGGCCAGGATTCCAGAATGCATCCCCAGGCAGGGGGAGGGGCAGAGCTGGGGCCGGGACTCCCTTTACAGTCTGTCTCGGGGCCCAGGCTTGGGCCACCTCTGGATCACGCCGCAGGAGGCCTGGCCTCTGGCTTGGTGACTTCAGGCCACCCCACCCCCTCTGTTCCTTTTCTGTAAAATGGGGGATGGGTTGTGGTCACTTTTCAAGATCTCTGGGCCCACCTCACTTAGTCTCAGTGTCACGCCTCAGCTCTCCTGTGCCTAAGTGCCACCCCTAGCTTCAGCATATCGGGTCAGGGACATTCTCTGTCACCCAAGCGGCGCCCAGGCAGACGGTGGCCTCATCCCTGGATCCTCAGGGCCTGGCTGTCTCTGGTCTATGTGTGACACTCTCCCAAACGCAGGCCAGAAACCAGGGCTTGGGTTGGGGTGGGGGGGGGTGATGGCGGATCCCAGCTGGCTCCAACTGGACAGTGGCCCCCGACTGGAATGGGGGCTCCACAGAGCAGCGACTGGGGTGCAGCAAGGCTCAGTGCACCCGGAGTGGGTGCTGTGTGAAGGACACTTGGGGGCCAGGCCACTTCCCAGATCCAAGTGGCCAAATGCTAAGGAGCCATATGAAGCCCACTCCCCGGGCTCAGCGGTTGCCCCACCCCCACCACATTGCAGCACCCAATCTAGGGGCTCATCTCCATGTGACCCACCCTCCCACCCCTCCGGGTCACCCACACACTCCCCCTGTGGCCCCGGAACCAGATCCTTCTCAGACTGCCCCTCCCCCTCTGCCTCCCTGTCTCCCCTCCGCCCGAGCCTTGCCCACAATTAACTCATTTTTAAAGATTGCTTCCAAACCTAAGTCAATGCTGGACAGAGCTGTAGGAAAAGCCACCTCATGATCGGCCGGCCGGGAGCCGGCGGTGAGATCAGGGCCCCCGTGCCCGCCCCTGCCTGCCCGCCTCCCTCTGCTCCTAGACCCAGGCTGGGGGCCCTGTGTCAGGCAGCCCCTTCCTCCTGGCCTCTGGCTCCAGCACCTGCTGCCCCCACCCAGCAGCCCCTGCCCTTGGGCCCTCAGGCCTGGCCTCCTTTCCACCCACAGGTGCCCTCTGACTGAAAGGGAGCCGGAGGCCTGGAGCCTCTGGGATCCAGGATTCTGGGCAGGGACCCATCATGAGCTGGCCTCCCCCAAACCAGCTGCCAGGCCCACCCAGGACCAGGGGTCCCTGCTGCCCGACCGGTAGTCTCTGGCGTGCACACCTGCAGTCTGGGGGTAGGGGTGCTCGGAGCAGCCTCAGAATATTCTAATTGCTCCCACTTCATTTTACAGAGGAGGAAGTGGAGGCCTAGGGCGAAGGAGGTTGGCCGAAGGTAGGCAGAGTAGGTGAAAGATCCAGGAGCAGAGCTGTGTGCTATGGCCCCATCCCCAGGCAGGCCTGAGCCCAGGTGGCACTGGGACTTTAAGGGCTGGGGTCCACGCTTGCTGCCCTCACTGCTACGGCTTCCACAGGGCCCTTCTGGGACCGCCCATTGCCCAGGATGGCCCTGGCACCTGCCCCTTTGCCAGTGACCCGGGAGGCCCCCAAGGTCTGCTGCCTGCCAGGGCTAGCCCCTGTCCCCCAAGCGTGGAGGTAGGCCCTGGCAGTCCTAGGGGATGGCTTGGTCTGTGGTGGGACTCACAGGCCTGCTGTGTGTGGAGACAGAAGCTCATTCATGGGGGCCATTGGTCCTGGGCCAGCCGTGAATAAACGCCGGAGCTCCAGGAGCGGGACTTGTTGCATGCTGTCGCTGTTGATCCATGTGTCGTGTGTTCTGTCCTGCCGTGGCAGCTGCTCGCAGCTCCCCAAGCTATTCATCTCCTGCGCTGGCCATGAGGACCAAGGTGCTCACCATGCTGGCTCTTTGGGTGGGGTACTGCTCTGGAGAGGCCACAGCCCCGCCAACTCCCAAGACGGTGAGTAGACAGCAACAGCAGCAGGAAGAGGCTGGCAAGATGGGAGGGCACTGGGGCTGG